TATTTATTCGAACCAATAACATTGTCCCCCAGTGGTTCGGCGATAACGTTGAGAATTTAAAACGATAAAATTTGGGTTCGATACCCGCGATGGTCTCGGCGCAGATAACTCATTTTGTAACTCTGAGTTTAAACAAAACTAGTAATATTTTTCTAGAATTAGTAGTTTCTCAGAGTTATGATGCAATTATACATTAAAAACAGTTCTTTTAGATAGTTACACAAGTTGGTTTTCTATCGTGACTACAAAATCAAATATTTTAAACCTAAATATTACTGAAGATAAAACACTTAAAAGTTATTTTATTCAGTATCATTACATCCCTCTTAGAGCGTCTAGTTGAAGTCTGTTTTTCTTCGTATAATAAATATATTACGAGGTTTTCCAAAATTGTTTCTGCTGTATTTAAACAAGAAATGTTTTTCAAAGAACATTTCATCGACTGTTTTGTTTTATAAATTAATCTTTTTTTTTCTCTTTCAAAATGCCCTCCCAGGGGCTCAGCGGTAAGTTTGTAGGCTTAAGATCCTAAAATCGGGTTTCGATACCCGTGATGAGCATAGCACAGACAGCCCATTGTGTAGCTTTGTGCTTAACAAGAACTCATTCAGGTCTTTCCTAATGCCGTTTCAAATTTTTGTTTATGAGAAATAGTTTTTTGTTATATTAAGGATAAAGAGTTATTTAAAGTCGTAAAAGTTTTCTGGCCATTGTCTAGTGATTTATTTCTTTACGAAACGAACGTGCTTTCAGTTTCTCTTGGTGTCTATTGCCTTTTTTATGAATGTAAAACTATAATTGGTGGACTATAATACATATACGAACACCAATCAAATATAGGTAAAACGTGATATAGTATAAGAATACAAACAACAACCAAAAAGCAAGTTAAAATCACTGTATAGTGAAGGCCAATTGGCCAAAAAGTTCGCACAATTTTTACCCCTTGGAAAGATGTTAACATTTTTTTTTTTGTATTTTCAAACTTATGTACATACTTTGTACAACTTATCATTTACGTGTGGAAATCTTAAACCTACTGGTTTCTGTATACGCCAACTTACACCTGCGTTGTAACTTTTTATTTTATTACATCTGGCTTGAATATAATACACGTCAAGACACCAGATGCGGTGTTTGATATCTTTTGACACGTTTTTGTTTGCAAATCATATTACATTGATCACCTGCGTAGGAGATAGAAGATATCATTGGTAGTTCTTCTTTTTTTTATTCATCTGTCTGTCTATAAATTTTATAGATTATAGTTGTCGTCTAATGTACTTAGTACTATATTTTGATAATTTATATTTCACTGAGACGATTAAAATTACCAATTGAAGTTTAAAAAAAATGTTTATCATTGATAAGCAACAGATACACGAAGAGACTGCTTTTAAAATAAAGTTTAGAGCCACTATTACGAAACAACAATTTTCGACACCTTCAAGTGCCTTCTTTAATCCAACAAAAGCTGGACTGAAGCTGTCCAAACTTGTTTCCATGTAAACTTGTGGATCTAAGCTTTATTTTAAATTACTTTACACGGAAATGTGTAGATATTATTAGACTGTTTTTAATTTTATAGCTCTATTGTAAATCTTTTAGTAGCAGTTTTATAAGCCAATGAAACATTAAACATTATTTTTGTTGCGATCTGTTCGCTAATTTTATATTTCTTTTATATAGTTATACGTTATATAATAATCTTTCTCTTGGAATTGTTATCATACTAATTGCAATTCAACTCATGTTGGATATGCTTTTACTTTCGTATTTTAACGTATATGAATGCTTATTTTATCATTACTTTTTAATACAGTCCCTTGACACGAATTATTTTCCCTTAACACCACAAAGGTACGAACTACGTTTTGACTAAAAGTGGGTGTATATACTAGCCTGTTGGATGAATGATACTTAGATTAATTTTCCCAAATATTAAATAGATAAATCCATAGTTAATTTGCACAAAATAAACTCTTCATCTTTTCAGTTGTTTTCAACCTCTTTTGAAAATATATTACAGCACTTTCTAAAAAAATATATACTTTTGGATACTATAAGTATTGGTTATACATAGAAGACTTGAAAGTATTTGGAATGAATTCTATATTTTATGCTTTTTGCATAAAGTCTCAGTATAATATTTTTAGAGTTAGAGGCTGCAACTGTTATTATGGATATATAATCAATACCACCCAGTTGATTGTTTGATTTTAATATACTGAATATGAAAGTTTTTTACGCCATATCATAGCTAAAAAATTATGTTTTCTGTGGTGGTCTTAAAGCCTCAAGATTTGTTCTTTTTTTTTGGCTGGTATTTTTATTGCATCATCTTTGATGCCCAGCCAAATAATTCAATTGGAATGTGATATGGTACAACTGTGGATATGTTTGTGCCTCGAAGGGTTGGATACTCTGCATGGTCGGACTGATGACACTAAACATAGTAAGATATCTTTCAGGAAAATAGCTTCCCAATACGCCCCAAGTTTGTATAATATTTCACTAAGTTGCGAAGATCTCATTCTTCGAGCTCTTTGTAGAAAGAAAACCGTTTGGGATATATGTACTTGACGTTCAGACCTTAGCTCAATTTTCTGGTCCACATTTTAAACCTAACTAAAATAGAGGTGATACCTCATTGTTTTGACTGTCAATACTAGCATTGAATTCATTAGTAAAAACATAGAATTAATACGACATCGGAAGTTTTACATTTTCCATCATCAATAAGGTATAAAATACAATAAAGTTTGCATCCACTATTGTTGGAACAAGAAGTTTATATGGAAACAAGTTTTGACACTTTCTCGTGTCCTCTTCAGTCCAACTTCTCTTTGTGAGAGAAACACATTATAGCATTATATTTTTTAGTTACTTTTATGTGAACATTTTTTGCTTTTAATACAAGTTTTTGATACTACATTTATCGCTAGGGATTGAACTGTATATGATGTCATACTTCAGCCTATTTCACACTTCTATTTAAAAACACCGAAACGTAATACGGAGGAGGAAGTATCGACTTAACTTTTATATTCTTAAACACTTTGAAATATTAACTTTAACCCGGATCTTTAATTGCTGTAGGATCCAACGTAATAAAGCAGTTTAACTTCCATTTGATCATACAACTAACACAATTCTTAATGATCCAGTTGCAATGGCTACCAGAATAAAATTTCTCATATAAATACAGTTGCCTGCTATTAGCATTCTGTGTGAATGTCAAGAGGTAGAGTTTGAGTGTGCATGTATGTTCGTCAAGAGGTGTGTTTGAGATGCATGTGTGTTCTTCGAGAGATGAAAGTTTATGTGTGTACGTGAAGAGATGAATGCACACATTATCTAATAATTCATGATATATGTTTTCATTCAAGCAAAGAAAGAGTAAAATTGAGAAACTCTAAGATTGTTTTTCAGATCCAAGCGTAAACTGATGGAAAAATTTCAATGTTAAACTTAAAATAAAGGGGTGTGGGTAATAATAAAAATATTTTCCGAACAGCAAGATCGTGAGATATCTGAGTAATCAAGATGGAGGTTTATTTAATAACATTGACTATATATTGCAACTGAGCAACTCGGTACGTCAGTTTTTTACATTGTTTTAACACCAGTGTCACTATGTGTTAACTGCTGATATTGTTTTAACACCATTGTCACTATATGCGTCAGGTGCTGACATTCTTTTAACACCATTGTCACTGTATGCAAAATATGAACGCTTACTTGGTAAAAATGTTCTTACTTGAAGTTGACATTTTAGTTATTTATTTTTTAAAAAGCACGTCTTACGTATGTCAACTTGTAATATTTTAATAATGACGTATAAAAAGCATCTAGGAATTTTTGTATTTTCATAATTTTTATATATACCGTTTTGTGAGATGTAAGTTTGATATCACTAACACTGTAATTAGAAGTTGGTTTTACACTATTATGTTGGTTACACTTGAAATCAGACAAACAACTTGCTCAAGTTTACTGATCTTTGATTCGTCATTTTTCAGTGACGTCAGAAAAAAAAAATCGGGTAAAACATCCATGAAAGAAAACGACGAATACGTCTCAAAGCAAATCAGAAATATGTGTGTGTGTTTGAAATATTTGAAAAAATAACCTAAATTCAACAACCATTATTATCCGAAAAAAATCCTTGATTTAATTAATAACGATACTGGGGTATATTTTGTATTACTATTGTGCAATCCAATGACAAGTAACACATGAAGAGTGCACTTATGCACACTTACATTTGCCGCTTCTAGACATTTTTTCTATAAGCCCACCCTGCCGGCAGAAGATATGAACTGTTTGCTACCCTGAAAACGACCTTGAAACTGTTCTACTTTATAATGTGGCGGGAAAAGATGTTGGACGGGAAGACCTCACGGGCAAACCAACACTCTTTTTCTGGTAGCTCTTAGTTTTTCTTTTTTACTTTGCCCGAAATTTGATCTTTGTGATTTACCAAAGTCAATGTTCATAACAATTTCAAAAGTTGAATTTCGTGTAATGGCGGGGTGGGCGCGCGCTTTCATATTTGCTGTAAACATTCCCGTGGAAATTCGCTTCAAAGGTATGTTCTTTCCTAATACTTAAGTTTCTAATACAGAAATGTTTGAATTATGCAAGGTTCTTAATTTTTTTTTCGATTTTTGGTAATTATAGTAGTTAAGATATTTTTGGAATTTCATACTACGAGCCCATCTTACAAAGGAAGAGATGAAAAAAAAACCTACGCAGGAAAGGACCAGTCTCGACAGACTTCGCGGAAAGTTGGAGTCTTGGTGTTCCTTCATATGAAATAGTTCCAGCCTACTGGCTGCGAGGCTACCGGAGCTGGCGCCTTGACTGGTAGTCGAGTCCAGCGGGAAATGTGGTTGGCCGCGGCTTCCGTGGAATATCAGTTTTATAGATGGTATGTTTGCGTAACCATATGTGACACTTTGCTATTATATTACTCAAAAACTATAATGCTGATTTTGTTGAACCTTCTTTGTTATTACCTAAAAACTCCTATTTATAACAGCGTACTTAAAATGAGATTTTTATACTTTTTCTGAGAAGCCTGGTATGTCATTTACGAACTGACTGTTGTCTGATGTTTGGCGGCGTCAATGGAAAGAGACGGCGCCGTTGTTTATTTCGTGGCACTTATCGTCGATATGTAATTGATATTAGTTAACAAATTTCATGAACACGAGTACTTGAACGTCGAGGAAAACGCTTTCGCTAAAAGTAGTAAATATACCTTGGAAACATCACAGTTGAAACATGCGACAGTAATTATTACAATACTCACTAGACGACGCTGTAAGTCTGCTCAGGCAATTTTGGCACGCAGCCAAAAGTGCTTCTATCATTGGTCGTGAGTGCAGAGTGCAAGTGAGTTTTCCAATGTGGAGGAAAGCTGCTCAGATTTCTGTTTCTAAGTTCAAAGGAAAATTGGACAGTATTTGGCTGTTAACCAAACACGAGAAGCGTCCTGCCAAAGCCAAATGGTGATATATGAAGTGACAGAGAAGATGTGAAGACACTCTACAGTTTTGGAGCGCGCGCTCATGGGTTGATGGAAGAACATGACCTTGGTCCGCTTACTGTGCATAAGCTCTGTAGAATTGTGAGTATACCGCCATTGCTTGTGTATCCTTTTCCCCTGCGCCTTCGCTTCGTTCACCAACGCGCGCTTTTCCCCTCTTAACCACCCCTGATATTCCAACACCTAAGAGGCTGGGATGCCTGCTCAAGTTATGGGACCATGCGGTCCACCAAAACTACTGAATAATATGAACAAAATGACATTTATTTTTGAAAGTAGTAATTTTGGAAATTGAATTGGCGTTAAAAGTACGTAATATTTCAAAATGATTTGCAAACAGATTTAAATAATCTGCACTGCGTAGAAAGACGAACATTGTCACAGTATTTTTAAATTGCTTAGTCTTTTTTTTTATATAGAAGTTATAGTTAATATTGCGTCTATAAAATAGTTCACGACATTACAACTTGACTGCTTCTCTGAAAGACGATTAAGCCATAAAAACGTGTAGAGGCTTTACCATTATTGTGGTGTCTGACTGTACTTCTGGTTATTTTAAAGGCTGTAGAATGTAGATGTTACATTACTAAACATATTATTATAGTTTTCAAAAATAACTTTGAAAATCGGGATGTTTTGAAACCTAGATGGAAATATGTTTTAAGTCCTTTTTAAAATTTCATTACGAATATACAACAGTATATCAAAAAATAAATAGATCTTGTGAAAACCACTAGCATTTAAAATTTGCGGGATAAAATATAATATGAACGTGGCCAAGTGGTTGGCGTGTCGGCCTATGGCTCTGTGAGTCTAATGTTCGCGTCTCGTTATCGAAAAAAAAATTGCGCTCTTTGAAGTCGTAAGTACGTTATGAAGATGACAGTCGAAGCCTTCAACTTGGGCATACAAGTGTAGCCTAAGAATTGGCGGTGGGTGCTGTTGACTTGCTGCCTTCCTTTTAGCTTATAAGTTTAAAATTAGGGTAGCCCTTGAGTAGCTTTGCGCGAATATCCGAAAACAAACAAACTATAGTTTCTAAGAAGCAAGTACCAAGCTAAATTACTCAGCTTTGGAAAATATTCAGTTAAAATACAATCAGTTTTAAGAAAATCACGATGTATAATCTTAAGAAAACAGTGCAGCAACAGACGTTCTGCCATCTAGTATCCGCGGTGAAATATCAGACAAAAAAGCTGCACACGAATGTTTTGCTTATAAAAAACGAACTTTAAATTATATATATATATATATATATATAGATTATTTAACAGTAAATTTTCCGGTGAGGATATTTAAGAAATAACTGACAGCGAATGTAATCTTCTCTTATAGAAAATTCAAAAGTTATTTTGAAACAAATATTACAATCACTTTATTTGCTCTTTAGGATACAGATTTGTAAAATATCACAGGAACAATATAACAAATATTTGTTCAGAAACTTTTTACCTGCTACGTAGGAAAATTTAAATCCTAACTTTTATTATATATTATTTGCAGTTTGCTCCCACTTCATCTAGAATGATGCGTCTCTGAGTAAGCAATTGGATAAAAATCAATCTGTATATTTAAAAGTAAATTGCTTAATAATGACACGTTTATATTTTATGAAAATTTTCGACATAAAATGTAGCTAAATTGTGCTCTCTAAATATTTTTTTTTGTTTTGGCGCAAATGTATCCAATAAGCTACCTGCGCTCTATCCATCAAAAGGGATCGAACCCCGGAATTTGTGTTTTATATCCGTAAACGTACCGCTGATCCACTGGGGCTGATATAGAAATATATTAACCTTACACATAATGGATTTACAGACATCTGCATCATTTAAAATCACTGGACCATAGTGGCTTGAGGGCTTTTAGCGCTAAAATTCGAGGCTCTATCTCCCATAGCGCAGCTTTGCGTCAAAAAATACAAACAAACTCGCAAACTTACAGATTCCAAAATTTTAAGGTTATTTGAATTATTTTTATTTTTGAAAAAAAAATATTTAAAACACTGGCTTTATTGCAAAGTATTATTATTTGTTTTTGAATGCCTTTTTATATATGATTTTTAATGGCCCATCAAATATATTAATACTAAATAAATGAATATGGCAATGTTTGAATTGTTTGTTTTCATTGCTTAAATCAATTTGAAAATGTGAAATATATTAAAGTGGTATCTATTTAATTTAGTTTTCGATTTAGAATACAGATCTCCATTATTTTACTACAGGTATACTTAGAAGGAACTATAATAATAGTTTAAATTAAATAGATAATAGGTTGACTTTTATTGTTAAGAACAAAACTACACAATAGGCTGTCTGTTATCTGCACATCGAGGGTATCGAAACCCGAGTTATAGCGTTATAAACCCGTTGAATCACCGGGGTCTGTATGCTGGAACAAACTGCTTTTGTGTATTGCAGAAATTAAGCCAACTTGTGTATAATTTCACAAGAGAGGGCTTTTGAAAATTTTTAACCCGAAACACATGAGTACAAACATTTTTATTTGAGTATTCAGCTCAAGTTATTGTACTCTGTGCAATACTTCCTCAAGTTTTAAATATCATTTATATCAACTTCTTATCATCATAAAAATTTATACAGCATTTAATATTATAGCATTAAGTATAATACAAATATACTTAGGTTTTTCGGAAATAAGAATTGTAATTATCGATGTATTTTAGTCTTAGAAGAGTACAGTTCTATATAATTAAACGTGTGACATGTACGTATATGACTGTTGTAAATAATATAAAATATGGGACTTGTCGATTTTTCTAAAGACATCGAGTTGTATAATCCTCCAAATTCATTTGCCTTATTTATAAGGTTTACTTTCATTATACTTATAATTGAAAACCAAAAGATAGTTGAAAATTGTTACTTATAGTTAATAAATCATAATTATAGAATTTGAAAAAACATTCAGATTATCATTTAAAATATGCGAATCTTATATTCGTGGACATACACATATGTATAAATACACACACACAGGCGTGTATACATCTATATATACGCATGTGTGTGTCTATACTTTATTTAAACTTATTTAGAATTTATAAAGTATTTCATGTTTTTATGTCATAGTCAATACATCAAACTAGAGACGACGACATAATCAAAGCTTTAGTTTTAAAATGCGTGTTGCGATTTTAAGTATCTGAGTTTGGAAATACATTCGAATCTTTATGACGTTTGTCAAGGGTAGACTGATATTTTTGTTTTAATTGCATTTAAGCTTGATCTTACCATCGTAATTAGGTAGATGCCGTTAGTAAATGGGTTTTTAGCTAGTGAAGAACAAGTTGCCTTAACATTTCTAAAGTACATGACGACAAATAAAACTTCCAATCTTTCAAACTATGCAACCAGAACCGCACCTTGTGAAAGTTACAGTTGTCGCGCATACACTTATATTCGAGTTGCATTCCCACCTAACCTTTAGATCTGCAAAAAAACAACACAACAAACAAAAAACGATTTTATAAATTATTTGTAAACGCCTTCACTGAATGGTAAATCTCTTAATTTTGAACTTTATAGATTTAGTGATTTACCTGTCGTAAAATATGGAACTCGAATTTAGAAAATGTCCAAACATGCTTACCCGTTTTTAACTCTACATGACTAATTATTTGAATTTAAACTTAAAACAGCTCGTAAAGTATCTAACACATTTTAGGCCAAATAATCCAAACACAGAATGTACTTATTAACATGTGTTTTAGGCTATATAATCCAAACAGAGAACGTACTTACTAACATATGTTTTAGGTCATATGATATAAACATAGAACGTACTTAATAATATGTTTTACGCCATATAATCCAAACACAGAACGTGCTTAATATGTTTTACGCCATATAATCCTTAAGTACGTTCTGTGTTTTAACATGTTTTATAATCCAAACAGAAAACGTACATAATAATAGGTTTTAAGTTAAGTAATACAAACACAGAACGTACTTGATAATATATGTTTTAAGCCAAGTAATACAAACACAGAACGTACTTGATAATATATGTTTTAAGCCAAATAATCCAAACATAGAACGTACTTAAATGAATTTAATTTTATATAAAAGTTTTTATTATGTTGCAGAGAAAACAATAGAATATTCAGAGTTAACTTTACGTTAGGCAAGTTAATATCGAGATTTTAGGACAAAAGTTGCAAAATATTACACAAACTTGCTACTTTATACGATCGGAAGCAGTGGCCTAACTTTGTTTGCAAAAGTGGGAGAGACAGTTTCAGAAACATGATGGAATTTTATCAAAATAAAAGTCCTTGAAAAAGTATGTTCCCCCATGTAAGTTACGCAATGTTTAGAATATCTCTGCAGAAATGACTCGGATGATACAGATAACTAAACACTTATAAAATATCAATATTTTATATGACATAGTTTCGGATATCTTAGTAATACATTCTGATTTTATGATGTTCTAAACTGAAGAATTGGAATGTTACATCCAACCATTATGATGTAAGTTGTTGTAAGACCAATCTGTGTGTGAGAGAAAATGTTGCCTTGCAGTTTTTACCAAGTAAAGAAATCGTATTTGTTATTTTTTATGACGTATTTTGTGCATTTTATTAATGTAATTACAACATATATGAGGATTGAAATATCAATGTAGTTAAATAGCAAACCAACAAATAAAGCTGTACTGATTTTTTTGTTGGTTGTGCAATTCACTGAAGTAGAGCATGTACACTTAAAAAATAGGGGGTTTAGGTCTTCACTGTACGTTTGTTGTCATTAGCTGATTTTCTAGTATAACAGATTCAATAATTTTGAACTGCATCTTTGGACATAAGCTTAGTCTGATGAAGTAATAAGGGATAGACGCTAAGCCATGTACAACACAAAATAACGGTCGTTATTACACAACCACGTTTTTTTTTTTGTATTCCCAGTAAACCTATCATAAATATAAATTATTTGTATATACGTTAAGTTATATGCATTTATATGACTTTGTAAGTTATAAATATGTAAATAACTAATTTAGTAAATGCATTTCAGGCTATATTCATTCTGAATATGTCTGCCCAAAACGCATAC